GGCTTCTTTGAAGCAGTTTCTTCCTGGGCTGGTGGAGGAGCGAGAGAGCGACTGAGAGAGGAACGAGGCAGACACCTGAGGGATGAGGCTGAGGGAGGGAGGGAGACACCTGAGGGATGAGGCTGAGGGAGGCAGGGCCGAGAGGCAGGGCTTCTCAGCCGTCCTGCAGGGACTTGTCCTGAGCCGCAGAGACAGCCGTGGGCCGCCGCCGCCCAGCACTCAGTTTTGAAGGCGCTCCTCAGCCAGGCGCAGTTCCTGAATCTGCAGCTGAAACCCTCCGTTTTAAATGTCCCAATAGAAGAGAATATCTGTCGCTCAGGGTTGCAATGAGGAGGCATTGGCGCTCCCTGAACTTGGTGGTTTGCTGGCAGACGTTTTATTACCCGACTAGGTAACAACATCAGATGTTACCTAGTCAGGTAATGAAACGTCTGCAAGCAAACCACCAAACTCGGACTCCCCCCCCCCGCCCCCCAAAAAGTGTTTCTGCGTGAAACTGGTCCCTGGTACAAAAAAGGTTGGGGACCACTGGGTTAGAGGATGTAACAACATAGTCAGGTAGTGCATTCCAGGCTCTGTTGCTGAAGTCGTACTTTCTGCAGTCAAGTTTGGAGCTGTTTATATTGAGTTTGTATCTGCTGTGTGTTCTTGTATTGTTGCGGTTGAAGCTGCAGTAGTCATTAACTGGTTGACCAAGGCATAGCAAGTCCCTCTCTGTCCCTCTCACAGGGGTTGTTGTGGGGAAAATAGGAGGAGGAAGGTGTGTTGGGTATCTTTGCCACCTTGAGTTGTTTGTAAAAAATAATAAAGGCAGGATGCAAAGGAAGAAATTAAATAAATAAAAGTCTTATGAAGTTGGGGAGGAGTCTGAGATTTGGATTAACTATTAATTTAGGAAATAATACAAGCAAAGCCAAGTCACCCTTCAATTGACATTGGTGACTTACATAGGTGTATATGTGCAGCTTTTGTGGCATGATATTGAAGTGAGTTTTATTATGATTGTTGCACAGATATTCAGATTGGATTTAGCATTTTTGTTCACCATTTGAGTTCTTCCTAAGGACCTGGGCTAGACAGTTGTGGATGTTTGATGTTGTTGCAAATATTGTCACAGGATATAAGCTGTTCCAAGTAAAGTTGCCTTGTGCAATTGACTGAGGGTGGAATTGTCAATGCCAGTGATGTTCAAATTGTCACTGCCAGTGGTGCTCCAATTGTTTTGGGATTGCTTCCAAAGCACCTATTACTATTAGTACTACCTTTGCTTTCTTTTGCCACAGTCATTCTATTTTTATTTGAAGGTCTTTGTATTTTGTTATCTTTTCCAGTTATTTCTCTTCTATTCCATTGTCTCCAGGCACTGCCGCATCCACTATCCAGACTTTTTTGTCTTTCTTATCAACAATTGATAAGCATGGGGTATAATGTTATTATTATTATTTTCTGCTTTTATTATTTTTATAAATAAGGTAGTGAACATACCTAATACTCCTTCCCCCTCCTATTTTCTCCATAACAACAATCCTGTGTGAGAGAGAGAATGAGTGCCCCAAAGTTACCCAGCTGGTTTTCCTACTTAAGGTGGGACTAGAACTCACAGTCTCCTAGACTCTAATCTGGTGCTTTAATAAAATAATAGAATAACAGACTTGGAAGGGACCTTGGAGGTCTTCCAGTCCAACCCCCTGCTTAGGCAGAAAACCCACTTCAGACAAATAGTTATCCAACATATTTTTTAAAACTTCCAGTATTGGAGCATTCACAACTTCTGGAGGCAACTTGTTCCACTGATTAATTGTTCTAACTGTCAGAAAATTTCTCCTTAGTTCTATGTTGCTGCTTTCCTTTATTAGTTTCCACCCATTGTTTCTTAGCTTGACTCCCTCTTCTTTGTGGCAGCCCCTGAGATATTGGAACACTGCTACCAGGTAACCGCCTAGTCCTTCTTTTCGTCAAACTAGACATGTCCAATTCCGGCAACCATTCTTTAACTTCTAGACTAAACTGGCACTTTCCACAGCATTCAGTTTTCAACTTTTCAACTAGCCCACAGTTTAACCTGGCAAAGTAGCCCGTCACCTAAGCATTAACCAGGGCCAACCTGATAGATGTTATGAAGGAGACCTTGTGAAAAAAAAACCATTGATTTGCAATAGGAAAAGAAGACTGTGGCTGTTAAAATAAGACTTTTTAAAAAGAAGGGTTTCATATTATCAATTTATTAGATCAATAATGAAAGCTGACTGGATAGGAAGTACAGCTCTTGAATGAAAAAAAAAATGAAAGGGGCATATTGAAGAGAATAGGGGAAACCCCTGACAAGACAAATAGTAAGAAAGTAAACAGTATATCCAATAAAGCAAAGACAGATGGGGAACGCTTCAGAGCCAGCAATCAATGTGGATTGATTGACTAATGTGAATTGTGCAAGGGCTGGGGGAAAGGAAAAGGTTAGTATGCAAGTTGGAAAATGAAAAACAATATGATATTGGAATTCTTTGGGGAAATAAAAGAAAAAGACAGATGTGAAAGGAATTGATTTGCTCAGAGCTGGGGATGATAAAAAAGACTCAGTGATGGCATACTAATTCTGCTGATAGGGATTTATGAGCCTGTTTATGGTAAACAATGTGTGGATTATCTGATAGAATTTTATTACCCTATAGTGCTGTAAAAGTATGTGGAGGCCCAAATAGGCAGTGCAGAGAAGAGCAACCAGGATGATTAGGGGACTGGAAACTAAGGCATATGAAGAACGGTTGCAGGAACTGGGCTTGGCTAGTCTGGTAAAGAGAAGGACCAGGGGAGACATGATAGCAGTCTTCCAATATTTGAGGGGCTGCCACAGAGAGGAAGGGGTCAAGCTATTTTCTAAAGCACCTGTAGGCCAGACAAGGAATAACGGATGGAAACTGAACAAGGAGAGATTTAACCTGGAAATACAGAGAAACTTTCTGACAGTGAGAACAATCAAACAATGGAACACCTTGCCCTCAGAAGTTGTGAGAGCGCCATCACTTGAGACCTTCAAGAAGAGATTGGACTGCCATTTGTCAGAAATGGTGTAAGGTTTCCCGCTTGTGCGGGAGGGTTGGACTAGATGACCTATAAAGTCCCTACCAACTCTGATTATCTGTTATCTGTCTTAACTAAGCTACCATTTTTATTGATTTATTTTGTTTAAAAATATTAAATATTAAAAAGTACAACTTTTGCTTGAAAATCACAATGACTTGAACCTAAAATGGAAATTTTCTATGGAGGAATTTAGACATATTTCATTTCTTGTCATTCAATATAGGTTTTTTATCTGAATAATTTCTCTATAATGCTCTGGCTAAATGATCCATTTGATTCCAAACTTGACAGCTGGAACATAAACTTGGAGAGTTTTGTAGAAAAAAGTTTTAATATATCTGGAAAGCCATTAGAGATATAGCTGGTAAACAGCTATATGAAGTAACTTCTGTGTTCACTATTGTGTAAAAAGAGATCTTGAAATTAAACTCATTGTTGTTTAATCATAATAGGTTGTAACTGAATTACCTGCTGATCTGAACTTCAAATTATGCATTTAGATTGTAGATTCCTTATTTTTTGGTTGGAACCTAAATCCAATTAGACATTTCTAATGAGGACACTAACACCTCAGGATTTTGCAATTTCCTGAGACTTTACCTGTTTTATTTTGGTGCCTGCACAGGGAATACCCACAAAAGACTCCTGCCATGTCAGCAGAAAAAGAGGCATTTATGTCAAACGCCTAATTATACATCAAAGACAAAGTATAGCATATAATACAAATATTTCTGCTCAAAGATCACCAGTTAATAAGCAATTTCACAACTGAGGAATGCTTCAGCTGGTGGGAGATGGCTTTGGCAATCATTAACCCAAATCTTCTATGACTTAAAATAATATCTTTGACAGGTGCACATGATCCCTTATCTTCGGACCTAGAAAGGAGCTTGAGGCTAAATGATGGAAGTGTGGAAATTGATGAGGTGACGGAGATGGTGGGAAGGCCAAAGGTGTTAGTGTTGCCCAAAAGGATACCATGCGAGGTAAGCTCTGTTAAAGAAAATGCAATTCCCATAAATGCATTTTTTAAATTCCATTTTAAAAAATGTGCAAAAAATAAATAAACTTCCCCAAAGTTCTGCTGGGGTGACTCTAACATAAATGTGACTCAAACTGTAAAATCTCACCATAACTTTAACCCTCTATTAAATATTACCATAAATCTCAAAGAACCTAACTCTATTTATGTCTTACCCAAATGCCCATACAAATACTAACTCTGTCTCTCATCTTATCTTAATCTTAAGCATGATACTAAATTACTATAGACTTCATAAAGCTTAAATTATGTCAATATATTATTATTTATAGAAGTCCTCACAATAACATAAACCTACACTACCAATCATTATATACTCTCACATTAATGCACATTAATCTCACTCTAAATTTAAGCACTGACAGCCTCCTAACAATTGTTGGAAGTTAAATCTGGTCCATTCCAAGCTGGGAGAAGGATGCAGGCAAAGGAAAAATAAGTTTGAGGCAACTGGAAATGAGGTTTCTGTTCATTGGCCCAGGGACAACAGTGACAACAGCAGGTGTTCCTGGGGGCAGCTGGCAAATTAGGGTTGAATTAGTGTATTTTTATATGTTTCTGAGTTCTTTGTTATTGGTATGCTGGCATTTGTATGAAAATGTATTCCTTCTATGTTCCTTAGACTGGATATAATATTTTAATTGTTATGAGTTTTTGTATTATGGCATGTGAAGTCATGACTGGCCTTAAGGGCAGAAGGAAAATGTAAAGCTTAAGAGTTTTGTTTTCCTGATTTTATCTTGTCTGCATAGCCAGTTTCAGTTCCTGGTCTATACTGTTGTTTATTTGGAGATTGCTTTAGCCAAGTCTGGTTTTAAAATGTAAATATTGTTTTAGGAATGAAACTTGATTTACTTAAGCTTTGCCTCTAAGCTGTTTTAATGGGTGAAATAATGGGTCTTCTTTCTGCCTTTGTTAATGAGGTTCTTCTCTTCTTCTCCTTTAGGGGAAATATTCTATTCTGCTCCTTATCTTATTCTGTGGAATGTTTTGTTTTGTGGATGGTGGGCCCTCCTACACTATCATTTGGATCAAGTGAATTCCGTTTCAGAATTTATCCTGAGTCCTGTATTATTCCTCAATTCTCTCAATTTTTCATCATGAAATCAGTTAAGCCAGGGGTGTCAAAATCTGGCCCGCAGGGCCACCCTTGAAACAGCGAAGGATCAGCCCATGATGCCTCTGCCAGCAAAATGGAGCTTGGAGGGCCAAGCAACGGCCTCTTGCAACCCTCGGCCGTAGAAAACGGAGGTCGGGAGGGCCGCATGATGACCTCCTGCAACCCTCTGACAGCGAAAACTCCATTTTTGCTGGCAGAGTGCTAGGGCCACCACAGGGACCTCTAACATGAGTGACATCGAGCTGGCCATGCTCACCCTGGCCATGCCCCCCCCCCACAATCCTGATGCAGCCCTCAATGAAATTGAGTTTAACACCCCTGAATTAAGCTATTATGTTTAGGGTTAGGGTTAGGGCTGTTGTTACAACAGTTATTAGTCTTTAATATGCCACAATGTCTATTCCAAAGGTGGTATTCAGCAGGTTCTGACCAGTTCTGGAGAGCCGGTAGTGGAAATTTTGAGTTCAGAGAACCAGCAAATACCACCTCTGACTGGCCCCGCCCCATCTATTCTCTGCCTCCCAAGTCCCAGCTGATCAGCTGGGTCTTCTTTTGTTGCCCTGCACAGGAGAACGGGGCTGGAAAGCAGGTTAGTGGGGTGGGGAGGGAATGGGATTCTATAGTAACCTTCCCCCAGGAGTAAGGAGGGAATGGGGATTTTACAGTATCCTTCCCCTGCCACGCCCACCAAGCCACGTTCACAGAACCGGTAGTAAAAAAAATTGAATCCCACCACTGATCTATTCCATTTACTGGGGGGAAAGGGGGGAGTAAGATAGTCATCTACATCTCCAAAGGAAGTGATATAACCATGACAAAGTCCTGCAGTCTGAGTTCACAATTGCCATAAAATCAGATCAAGAGTGCATCCTAGTACAAAAACCGAATGCTTTGTTGAAATAATCTATGTTCTTGTGCAGGCCAAATAATTGCTTTATAAAAAAATATGTAGCTGGATGACATATGTTCTTCTGCTAAGGTTTTAAACAACTTGCATGAAAATGTGTGATTCACATTGTATAGATTTAATTTATTGATCCAAAGGAATAACTGGACACAACTCATACTTTACAGTGCCCTGGAGAAATGTTCATTATTTTAAGAGATGACGTTCCTGGAGATTCAGTAGTAATTGAATTTATAACGGAAAATGAATGGATCAGGATTGAACCAGATTTTTGGAATCAGAAAGTCAGGTTCATCAAAGCTCTAGGTAAGAGTTGATACCAGTTCAGGGAAAATAAAAAATGTTAAATATAACATAATGGAATGTTATACAGTATTTCCCATTATAATTCAATACTATTTTTATGTATGAGCTTTGACTATCAAATTCTACCTTATTAAATCAGAGGCATAAAAGTTTTTTACTTGTCAAAAACTGGAAGCATTTGATTGTTTATCCATGATAAAGTGGCAGTTGACAGTCTTTAAAATGTCATTCATTAGTCATAGTTTGCTAGACTTAATCAGTTTCCACTGCACACATTATTTAGAGCAACACAGCATAAATCTGTAGAACATATTGTTATCACTGCATGACGTTTATGAAGATATTGTCTTGTTTCATGCGGGGAGTTTTTCAAGTTCTTTTGTCATTTATTTGCACCAATATATTTGGCCATATTTTGATGTTTTACAATGTGTCTCAGCCTTCAACTTATCATTTTTGTTCATGACATTAAGTAATATTTAGTAAATCAGTGGTTTCAACTTAGTTGAACAAAGGGTTGCCCAATGTAGAAAGAGAAACTTTTTGTGGCTCTTGCATGTCTCTCTGCGTGTCAATTTGCTACAAAATTGGCATCACATCTTTATTATGAAATGGGAAAAACATATGAAAAATAAGCCCTAGCATGTGCATATTAATTATAATTTTTTAAAAATATTTTTTCTCCAAATCCAAAATTGTATGCTGGATAGAGCCATAGCCATTTTGCAGCACACAGCTCCTCCAAAAAACACTCGGCACTGCAAAACTTGAAAACATCAAAAAACTGTTAATCTGCCCTAGTTTCTCTCAGCTGCTTTTTAAAGATGTTTTTATGGGTGCTACCAAGAAAGCCAACTTGGTGGAACAGTTAAGGCAACAGGTTAGAAACAAACAAACAAAAAATACACTGAGTTCTGAACACAAAGCCAGCTGGGCGACCTTGCTAACCACTTCAAAAATATTACCAAGAAAACTTTGAGGACTAAGTGGAGCAGTTGTTGGGAATCGAAATCTGGCTTCAAGGCACCCCCAAAAAGGGCCATCCAAATACGATTGTAGAGGCTGGGCACAAACCCAGCAAGTTTGGCTTATCACTTTTTTCATTACATGAATTAATACATAGATTATCACCTAAGTGTCCATCTGGAAATCCTTCTCGACCCTGACACAAAGAAGATTCGTTGAAATGTCCGTAAATATTTCCAAGTATGCTGTATATTTTAAAGCTTTCTTTGTTTTCCTTTGTTCTCTAGCCTCCAAATATATTTTAATTCCACCTTCTTGCTCCACTGCTGCTGAATTTTTTTCTTCCATTGCTCACTGTTTTTTTTGTTAGTTTGTTTTTTAAGCTCCCCTGTGAATTGTTGATTTTTCAATCTGGAATACATAACACAGAAGCATTCTGAATGTGAATCAGTGTGCAAAAGTTTTGGCAATATTTCTGTTTCTTTTTCTTCGTTTTTTTTTTTCCCACTGAGCTTTCAAAATGTTCTGTTTTATAAGATTTTCCTGCTGGCTTTGTAAATGTAAATATCTACTGTGGAGGAGACATTAAAGCCACAATGCAGATTGAATACTATTCAACAGTGGGAGAGCTTGAGCGGATGCTTCAGAAAGTGGCTGATCCAATTGCATTTGCCTGTCAGGTAAGCTGTTCTCTACATTAAACTGTTAATAAAAGAAGTTAATAAACTATTATCTAACTTAATGGAGTTCATAAAATAAGAAGAGTTCATAGTTCGAGGGTTTTTTCCCCATCCAAACCTTTTATTTTTATTTATAATGTCTGAAATAAATAATATTAAGCAGTAGATTTTTCCCTCCAAAATGTTGGGTATCAGCGTGTTAGAATGAAAATACCAATACCAGAAAGTTAGTATTTCACAACTGTGCAAATATGTAGTAGAAATGTATATAGGTAACCCTCGACTTACAACAGACTATACTTTCAGGGATCATTTCTATGGTAGAAATGCTATGGTAGAAACTCGAGAAATGCACTCAAAGACTGGAGGCTTTCAAGAAGAGACTGGACTGCCATCTGTCAGAAATGATGTAGTCATTTGGGCAGGGGGTTGGACTAGGTGACCTACAAGGTCCCTTCCAACTCTGTTAATCTAAAGTTCATTTAGTGACCGTTCAAAGTTACATAGCACTGAAAAAAGTGACTCGTGACTGTTTTTCACACTTAAAACTATTGCAGCATTTCTGTGGTCACATGATCAAAATTCAGATGCTTGGCAACTGACTCATATTTATGATGGTTGCAATGTCCAGGGGTCATGTGACCACCTTTTGCAACCTTTTGACAAGTCAATGGGGAAGACAAATTCACTTAACTACTGTGTTACTAACTTAACTGCAGGGAGTTACTTAACAACTGTGGCAAGAAAGTTGTAAAATGGGGCAAAAAAAATCTCTTAACAAATGTCTCACTTAGCAACATAAATTTTGTGCTCATAAGTCGAGAACTAGCTGTAAAATGATTTATATTGATTGGGTAATAGTGAGAATAGAGTCATACTAGAGATGTGGAATACAGACTATAAGAAACTACTATATCTTTTAATCAACTCAGCAGTGTCAAGTCACTGGTATAATTCTTCATCCCTACTCAACATTTGTAAAATGTATATGCCCAAGAGAAGAGAGTAATGAAAAATGTGGTTTTAAAATACATGGACAATATTTTAAAGCATGAATAGGCAACAGATGGCATTCCAAATATTGATCACGTACATTGGGCAGTACAGGTGAACAACATCTGGAGTGTTGCAGATTGTGGGCTCCTTGTGGCCTTTTTACTAAAAACAGCCAACCAGGAAACTAGAAAAGAAATATAAGGAAAAGAGAGGTAGGAATGAATAGGAAGAAGAGCTGAATGGTATAAAGGCTTCAAGAAGCAATCCACTGACAAAAACAGGAGGAACAAACGGAAAAAAAACATAGCAAGAAGTACTGGTCTGCACCCCTATACATGGTAGGGGATGCAAGTGGAACCTTAAAAGACTAGTAGACTCAATTGCTGCTTTACTCAAATCTGTTACAATACTTTATATCAGGGGTGTCAAACTCAAATTCATCGGGGGCCACATCAGCAGTTTGGTCCCCATCAAAGGGCCGGTTGTATCTGTAGGTCTATGTGTCCACTCTTTATTATCATAAATTAATGTCACTGCATTCAATTATTACTGTTTTTTGTAATAATGTAAGTAATAACTAGCTCTGAAAGCAGAAACATAGTCAGAATAATGACAAGTAGATATTCAAATGTACAATTATTGTACAATGTATTGAAAAATGTTTTTTGGTAACAAACATTAATTTTTTTTTAAACATACAAATATTGCCAAACACTGTTTATTAAACATATGGAAAACACAAGGCATTACCTTTTTTTTAACTTTTATAGTGCCCAGCCATGTGCCCCCTTTTAAAGTGCCCAGCCATGTGCCCCCTTTTAAAGTGCCCAGCCATCTGCCCCCTTTTATAGTGCCCAGCCATCTGCCCCCTTTTATAGTGCCCAGCCATCTGCCCCCTCCATTTACTTTACTTACCTTTTACTTCTTTCTTTCTTTTACTTCTTTCTTCTTGCTCCTCTCCGCGGCGTCCGCGCGCTCCTCTGATCCCTGGAGATGTCGGGCGGACATCACGTGATGATGTCACGTCCGACACCCAGGGAGCAGTGCGGGGCAGGAAGAAGTCGGGCCAGGTCCCGGAAGGTAAGTAATTTTTTTTTTTTTTTAACTTGAGCCATTTTTAAAATGAATTTACTCCGTGCAGGCACGGAGTAAATTCATTGGAAAAAAAAGGGGGGAGGCTGCAAGGCTGGCGGCGGCACCGCGGGCCATCAGACGAGGTCTGGCGGGCCGGATTTGGCCCACGGGCCTTGTGTTTGACACCCCTGCTTTATATTTTTCTATTTGTTTATTTGGAAATGGTGACCAAAAAAAGGATAACCCAATATGCAAGGAAATGAAAGCAAATGCCCTGCAAATAAAGAGTTGCAACTTAGAGGGCAATTTGGTCAAGGAAGAAAGTACATGGATATTTATATCAAATCCATGAAGCTTCTTTGGATTTGGAAATTGGGGCTGAGAGCAAGAAGGTTTCTTTACACATGGGCTACAAAGTCATATGGCAATTTCCACTGATTTACTTGTTTAGAAGGAAGATCACCAAGGATTTGTTTTAAAAACAGAAGCAAAACTCTTAATCTCATGAGCTTTCTGCTAGGGCAGGGATCCCCAAACTTGACAACGTTAAGACTTGTGGACATAAGTTAAGCATAGCTGGCTGAGGAATTCTGGGAGTTAAGTCCACAAGTCTTAACATTGCAAAGTTTGGAGATCTCTGCGCCAGAGTCAGAATGTTGGCGAGACAAGTCTTTGTCTAATTCAGTAGGTCTCTTGTTATATTATTCAGTTTTAAAATAATAGTTTCTTTTTAGGATTTCTTTTTACAACTGTCCACTTTGACCTTGTTAGTCCTTTGCCATGAGATTTTTGCTATGTGATTTACAAAGACTCAGTATTGTCATAGCTTGGTGCCCATAGGATTTATGGATGTCTGAGATGCTTCATTTGTTTCCCCCATGTCATAATGCACAATGATATCATTACATTCCATTATTTCACCTTTGGCCTGACCAGTTGGAAACATGTTTGATCAGATATATAAGGCATATTCTGATGTTCCTAGTTTTGCTTATTTATTTAATAAGTAAACAATTATCAGCTGATTAAAATAAATGCTTCAGATATAGTTTACAATTATTTAATGCTATAGATTTCATTGCACAAATGCAATATATATGTATATATGATCATCAGAATGAAGATAGGTGCAAGATTCAAAGTCTGTATTCAACAGTGTAAACAGACCTCTTGTTTGTGCAAGAGAGAGCTATGAGGAATTGCCTGTATAGATTTCAGAAGCTAACCAGATTCTACAACATCTTTTGAATTACCTTCTGTAAATAAATAAGAAGATGGAATCAGATTATTTATACCTGTGTTATCACATCTGTAAATCCATTCTTAGCAAGCAGATCTGAGGTCCAAGAATCCATAAATGAAATCAATAATAAACAAGTAATGAAATTAGATGAACCAATAGGGTTTTTGAATTAACATGTGTCTGCCATATATAGCCATTCAATTTTTGGAGACTTCCCAATTTCCATACAAATGTCTTATTCTATATTTTAGAAATCCAACAGAAGAGGACAAAATCTATAGTAAAAAGGCTTCCTTCCTTTCCCTCCCCGCCCCCCAAATATAATGAGGAAGGAAGTCTGTTTCAGAAAAGTAAAGAAATTGAAATATCATTTGTACAATGGGCAGTCTGAGGATACTTGACATGTCTATATCGTAATTGCAATGCAAGAACAAAAATAATAGCTGTGTTTATAATTCAGACAGCCTCATTTTCGTGTGACAAATCTACAATGTCTGTAGCCTAAGGCGTTCTGCTCATAACAAAGGATTAATAAAAAAATGATGCATTACATTATTAGCACTTGTTTAAAAACAGAAGTAAATTCCTTACAAATAATTTTTTACGAATACAAAGAGTCTGTTCAATAGCACCTGTTTATAAAGCAAAAGCAAGTTGTAAACTTTCACACTTTGCTCATCTCATCAACTAATTATTGTCTTAATAATATGAAATGTAAATTGAGGACATTACAATTATCACCATCATCACAGTTGTACTTTCTGTACATTTGAGGAAAGCTTTGAGGTTAAAAGTATACTAATTGACAAGGTTGGCAAATCATGACTTGATGGAGAATATGTACAGGAAAGATTGTTACACAGTTTTTATGAAGAAGATCCCAAATTCAGCTGTAAATTTCCAGTTAACAGACATGGGCATCTCCTATGCAACTCTAGATATACTGTCTGCCAATTATAACAGACTACAAAATAAGTCTGACCTGCCATTTTCTAGCTAACTACCTAGCTAGCCCATAATTCTTAGAACTCATACAAAATTTTCCACAAATATTTTCTTACATTCAAATCATAACCCATGACTTAGACACATTGTAGGGTTTAGCATGGTCAAGTGTAACCCAGGAGCTTAGAAATAACCATTTCCTTTTCTGGATTGTCCTCCTTGGTACAACTTGATTTATACCATTGGGTCTAAATCAGGTCCACATTGTCAAAGCCCTCTTACTCAAAAGATTCTTCAAATAGCAACCTGGAATTCTTTCTTTACATTTTTAAAAAAATATCTTCAGATAAAAAGATAACAGATTAACAGAGTTGGAAGGAACCTTGTAGGGCATATAGTCCAACCCCCTATCCAAGCAGGAGACCCTACACCATTTCTGACAGATGGCAGTCCAATCTCTTCTTGAAAGTCTCAAGTGATGGCGCTCCCATCATTTAACATCAATAGTGCAGGGTATGCTCACTGTTTCTATATAGTAGCTTGCCCTTCCAGTTTTGGTCAGTGGATGGTTTTCTCCTTGGTATTTTTTAAATAGAGTATTGTTTTCTACTTGATTGTTGTCTTGTGTTAATCCCTTCTTATCTAGCTTCCAGTGATGAATCTCCCACAACTTCTGAAGGCAAGCTGTTCCATTGGTTGTTCTCACTGTCAGAAAATTTCTCCTTATTTCCAGGTTAAATCTCTCCTTGTTCAGTTTCCATTCATTATTCCTTGTCTGGCCTACAGGTACTTTAGAAAATAGCTTGACCCTCCTTCCTCCCTGTGGCAGTCCCTCAAATATTGGAAGACTGCTATCATGTCTCCCCTGGTCCTTCTCTTCACTAGACTAGCCAAGCCCAGTTCCTGCAACCTTTCATCATATGTTTTAGCTTCTACCTGTATACCCGTACACAGTTTTAGATTCCCACTTTATTATTTTCCTTCAGAGTATATTTTTAAAGAAAAAAATAAATGGGTCACCTTCTATGATAATTAAAGACAAATTCCAAAATGATCTAACACTTAACACAATTAAATCTACTTAATAAGGCCAAACCCAGTTATTTTGGGGGAGGAATGTATTACTGAGGATCCTTGGCATATGGAATACAATCAACCTCAGTCAAGTAAGAATTACTGGTGTTCGTTCAGGGTATAAAGTAATGTTCAAAATATGATTGACTTTCAGATGCTTGAACCTTAAAGGATTTTTGCCCCCCTCAAAGATGAGGACAGGTTATAAGATATTAAAATGAATAAACATTGCTTCTCTTTTGCTAAATGTAAGATATTATATTATATTACATTATATTCTTTTTCATGTTCTTGTATACCTCTCTGGTGTAAAGTCAAAAGTAGGTTATAATTTTTTGAATAAATACAAAAGTACTGGCAAGCTCTCAGAAAGAACTTTCCAGTGAGACCAATTAGCTAATTAGTATTATTTATTTATCATAATATTACTAGCCTGTTCTTTATGTCAGAATGATGAAATGTAAATGATATAAAAATAAAAGAGCAGCAAATAACATTTTATGAATAACAATAAAATCACAGGAACCATTAAACTTGTTAACTTTCTAAAAGCCAAAATAAAACTGTTTTTACCAAGCATTAAATAAATGAAGCTGTGTGCAGTAAAAACAAAAAAGATGTTTAAGCATAAGGCATTCAGATGGGATGTTCCTGATGGCCACTTCCTTCATCTCAAAAATAATCTGATAATGGAATAATCCTAGTGTTTGAGGAAGATGCACATCTTTTTCATCAGACTACATAGTAACTGTTTGATTAATTGGTTGGTTGGTTGATTATATGCCATCAAACTGGTGTCAACTCTTACAGACCACACAGATCAATTTTGTCCATGACCACATAGTAACTGTGGACCTCAACTGCAATTAATTTCAGAATGTCAGTACTGTTATAGCCCTGTAAAAGAGAGAACATCTGATATCTCCAAAAAACTGTAAATATTCAAAACAATCCAGCTCTATCTAAAAATATGTTTTATATAAGATTCAGAAAATTGAGAGACAGAAAGCCTGATCATCTGGAATAGCCATCATATAACAGAGCTACAAAATGGGGCCTCCACTGACAACTGATACCGTTTCACTTATTCAACTGTCTACTGAATATAAAGATATTTTTATGTAATTTCACAAAACATGCATATCTTTGAGCGGAGGAATGCTTGGAGTATTGGGAGCCAGCACTGGAAAATTACATTCATACACAGCAGATCCCATTTTGTTCTAACAGCGTATTTGAAAACTTTCCCACATTTTCCAATAGTCCTGGGTGAATAACTGAGTCTGCAAGAGAATGCATGCCTAAAATTTTCCAGGGAGTTCATGATTCAGAAGATTCAGAATGAAGATCTCCTATCCTTATACTTAATCTCTTATATTTTGCCATACCAGTGTTTAAACTTGTCTTACTGATTATTCATTTCTGTTTTTGAAATTATTCATATTGCTCAGATGAATATCTGTGTTGTTGTTTTTTAAATCCCTTTGTTCTATGACTAAGTCCCATATGAATGTGCTTCAGAAAAAGTATGGAAAGGAAAAGTGTGTCAATAAGCTGAAAGGCACAAAATCTTTTAAAACAGAAATGATAGGCTGTCACAACTAAAAGGCACTAATAGCAACAATCAACTGGGAAGGGGAAAGAGGGAAACCACATGAACACCCATAAAAGAATGGGGTGTCCTACTGGATTAGATTCAAAGCTCCTGACCTTTAGCTGACCTATCATCTCCAAGCCATTGCCAAATTGGCTTGAGAGAGCAGCATCTAGAGCCCCTTGAGTGGTGTTCCTCAACTTCCATGATTTTATGATGCTTGGACTTCAACTCCCAGAATTCGCCAGCCACTAGGAAATTCTGGGTGACGAAGTCCATGCATTTTAAATTCACAGAAGTAGAGAAACACTGCTCTAGAAAAAAAAGAAAGTAAGCTACATGGTGGTCACTTCACTTTACTTCTGCTCCCTATAGTCAGGAATATGAAGAAGCAGATGTGGCCATCCAGTTTGCTGGAATCAAACTCCAATCATGCCTGAAGCCCAAGAAAAACAATACTCTGGCCCTGGCCACATGACAAAAACCAGGCTTGTCCTGTTTTCTAATGCACCATTACCAGAAGGCAATTTGCATTGTGAAAGCTCAAAAGGTTTCTTGAACAACAGACATGGTGCTTGTCTTCCAGGTGATAGATTGCCCTGTTCTTGATGGATGGAGAGCTGACAACTAATAAAATGTAAAGGCAAGAGAGCATCCTTGCAGTTACTAAAACAAACAATACCTTAAGGCAATGCAGGGCTAGCAAATAGTAGTCTGAAATGTTGGCTTGCAGCTTCTCAAATGTTTCCTTCCTCCAAAAAAAAATATCAAACAAACAAGATGGCAACCACAACTTTGCCATTGAAGCCACATCATTTTACATACAATAAAGGGATGGGTCTTTGATTTCATTCAGTTATGGCTACCACCTTTACTTTCTCAACCTCCTCCCTGTATATAAACCTGCTTCCCGATGGGAAAGATAGAAATGACATCCTACTTTGTAATTTATTGGAAACATACTACTCCACTACTGGAGGATCTGCAGAAGTAGCCCACTTCCGTGAGCATTGTAAGTTCCATTATAAAAAGCCCACCCAGGACACCACAGCTGCTGTCTCTAGCATATAGAGCCTGTCCTTTAATTGCTTCTCAGGACTTGTGTTTCTCCAAGGAATAGTTGCCACGATAAACTTCCACTGATCTTCATGATTTTCTATGCCCTTTAATCCATCTGAGAAATTATCCCTGTTACCAGATCACCAGCAACTCTCTTAAAAACTAATAGCCATTTCCAACTTCAGTGGTGCAAAATATTCCCACATGAGCTTGCTCTTTTTGCTTTTTACTTTTGGACAACGGTACAAATCTGTATGCCCTCAGGTTATTCTTTGTTTTCTTTGCCTCTATCTCAACCCCACAGGCTTTCAAGTTTTCATCAGCCGAGAAAATGGATAACATTCTCACACTCCTGCTGAAAAGTTCAATCATTTCTCATGATTTTAGCAGTTTTCCAAATGAAGTCACGGATCATGACCAGGAAACTGGTATGTACGTATATTATCCTTTGTTGGCTTTGTTTACTGAGAAGGTTCATATCAGGGTCATTTTTCATATATGTTAATACAGGGAACACTTCGTGAGAACCTCAAGTTTCACAAAAGTGTCAAAACTCTCTCCCCCCCCCCCATCAAAAACATGAAGAAGACAGTATTTCTAATTTATTGGGTTTTTTATTATTATTGGCTAATAGTTGTTTCATCAATATTATTTGGCTGGATTATGATATTAATTTATAGATTATTATTACATTATTACAATGAATGTTTTAAATTGTTCATCGATTGTTTTATCTAAGGATGTCTTAATTGCTGATTTATGACTATAAACGTTCATAATCCTAGAAAGAGTTGGAAAGATGTAATTGGAATAAATAAATAGCTTCAGTCTGCCCAGGCACAAGAGATTGGGGGGAAAATATAAAAGAAGTGAAGTGAAGAATTATATTTAACGATGTATATTAGAAATTATATTTAACGATGTATATTAGAAATATGTAGCTGGCTGGCTGGCTGCTTTTCACATTAAACAGAAGCCCATCATGAAGCAATTTTTTTGAAGATTTCACTGATAAAATAAATGAATCTTTGTTGCTTTCAAATAAGGTAGTAAAATTATAGTAAGCATTCAAATGTACCTTTTCTTAGCACAACAGTGGGCCCTGGAGAAATTCAGAATGTACCTATGAGATTAGGATAAAATAGTTAATGGCCTTTCCATTTTTCTTCCACGTTAGCCACTCTTCAATGTTGTATTTAAGGAATGCTAGAAAATTATTTAAAAAGTGGTAAACTGCCTTCAAGACTAGCAGCTATGAATAGGTAATCTTCCATGAATTTGTCTGCCCCCCCTTTTTAAATTTAAATTATGTAAATCAGTGGCTTCACCAATCCATTACTCGAGATTTTCAAAAATATTTTCAAATGAACAACCATTTCACTGCAATGGTATAAGGGTCGGATATGGGCTGGACTACAAGATAAGAGTCCTTTTAGCTCTGTGATTCTGTGTTCTACCACATCTGATGGCAATGAAATCTCATACCTAAACTGTGTCATCTCAGGAAATACTAATTTTGATTGATCTTGAGTCTGTCTATATTTAGTTTTAAAGAATGACATGACATAATGGTAGAGAGAAACATTTTGTCCATATTTTTTATTCCAAACATTATTTGATATAGGTTTATCATGTCTCCTATTTTCTATTCACTTCAAATTAAAATACTGTAGATATTGTAGCCTTTCTTCAGAGGGGAATTGCTTTAATGCTGATAATAATATTGAATGTATTTTTACAACAGCTGCACTCTGAGCTGGCATTTTTGTTGAGCTATATCCCATGACTCTAAGATCCCATTGCTAATTACTCACCAATAGTTTAGATCCCATTAGCATCTAGGTGAACATGGATGTATGTGCAGGCCATCATGAATCACTTTTGATTCCTTCCATTGAATTGAATTTGAAGTTAATGGACAAATGTGGCATCCTGTCAGCTGGCATTTTCTGCCCATAGGAGAATAAGATGTCTATGAAGATTCTCAGTCATCCAGTCATAGTTGTCACAACATAGGAGAACAAAGCCATCAGGGCTAAATTCAGCAGTCTATCTGCATTTAAAAGACAAAGGCCACTCTTTTGAAGACAGCAAAGTTGACATTTTGGACAGAGAGGACCGCTGGTTTGAAAGAGAGGTCAAAGAGGCCATCTATGTCAAAATTGAAGAGCCCTTTGTCAACAGAGGGGAAGGGATACAACATCATCTATCTCCAGTCTACAACACAGTCCTTTCAATAGTTCCAAGAATGGTCCACCCCTATTTGCACTAGTCAGGTGACCTTGACAACACAGATAAACCTCCAAGTGGCCTTAACAACTCACCAAAAGAATGCAAATGACCAGCTCTCTGCAAGGAGTATAAATCCTTCCATTCCTCACGATCCAGTCAGAGCTGAAGAAGTTTCTTGGAGGCAAAGTGTCTTCAAAGAAAAAAAGAAAGTCCAGTTGCCTCTTGAAAAAGCACCTTTGGGATAGCAGAATACAGATTTTCTTTCTTGATATCGGGTAGCTTACCAGCTCCAATTGCCCTTCCTTTTCTCTTCTTTCAAAGTCTGAAAAAAGAGGACAGTAATGTTGCAAACATATTCACCCTGTGCTTCTTCAAATTAATCCAAATTAGGCTTGATTGTTGTGGATGACCATTTGAATATGAACCAGCAATGTGCAGCAGCAGCAGCCAGAAAAGCTAATACAATCCTGGGTTGTACAAACAGAGGCATAGAATCAAGATCACATCAAGTATTAGTGCAACTTTACAAAACCCTAATAAGACCACACGTGGAATACTGAAACAATTTTGGTTACCATATTACAAAAAAGATGTGGAGACTTGGAAAAATTTCAGATGATCAAACCAAGATGATCAAAGGCCTGGAAACTAAACCATAGGAAGAATGGCTGCAGGTTTTGGGTCTGGCTAGTCTAAAGAAAAGAAGAATTGGGGTGACATGATAGCTCAATTCCAGTACTTGAGGAGTTGCCAAAAGTTGAGGGGGACAAATTATTCTCCAAAGCACCAGAGGTCAGGACAAGAAATATTGGTTGGAAACTAATCAAAGAGAGAAGCAATCTGGAATTAAGGAGAAACTTCCTAACAGTAAGGACAATTAACCAGTGGAACAGCTTGCCTTCAGAAATCATGGGAACTCCATCAGTGGAGATTTTAAAGAAGAGACTGGATAGTCACTCATCTGAGATGGTAGGTATAGGTTCTCCTTCCTGAGCAGGGAGCTAGACTAGAAGACCTCCAAGGTCCCTTCCAGCTCTATTCTATTCTAATTTTTGGTAGATAATTTGTATATATATATACAAATTATCTACCAAAAATTAGAATAGAATAGAGCTGGAAGGGATATATATATATGGGGATCTTTGGTTATTCGGGTTTTCTCCCACGTAAATATATATTTGTGTGTAATATATATAAATATATTGATTTGGGCACAAAAGAAAAAAAATGAAACCTTCAGATTATGCCCTGTTTATCTTAGTCTGCCATAAACTTTTTTTCCAAAATGTTTTCTATTATAAAAAAGAGGAGGAGGAAGAAGAAGAGGAGGAGGAAGAATCACATGCTTTGGTCTTCATACTGCTTGCTAAAATTACATCTGAAACTGGGTGTTTCAATGTTTTAAAGTTCCAAAGTGACCACAGTCACTTTTAGAAGTTTAAAACATAAATTGAACATCTAACAACTGTTCTACATTTAATTCCATTTATATTCATACCAGGGATAATCTGGGACCACTGTTTTCATAGGAGTGAGTATTCTCTCCATGTGTTGATTGTCCATGGTCTTTGTCCTTATCAGTGTTTTCATTCAAGTGCTGTAGTTAATCTGTACATGTAGATCATGTAGATGACACATGCGCATACAAACATAGATATATCCTACCTTTAAAAACAATATTAATCTACCTAAATAAATCACATTGAGGAGCAGTGTGTATCAAACTCAAAATTTAACAGTCCATATTGACAATCTGAGAAGTTTATCTAAATTCAGGCTATCCCTACCATTAAATGGTGTCAAGCAACCACCTTAGACATAAACAATGGAAACTATTACTGTTTCCTTTAACCCAGTCTCCTTGGCCCAATATCTATTTTAGCAGTGCTGCAGTTCAGTACAAATTCAGACTATAAATTTTTCTGTAGGGCCAATAATCATGGAGGAATAAATAAAGGTAAAAGAGTAACAATATTTTCTGAAGCTTTATTTACAGATGTAAATAAAGGGTTGCTGGGTTGTTATCCAATTTATTTAGATTTTTTTTTTAAAAAAATGACAATGTGCAATGCACCTCACACTGTGGTGAACTGTGGTTTTCCTGAGATAATTGCTATTCATGCATTCAGATTTTCCCTATTGATACTCAAAATGTAGGTTTACAGGGCAAAAGTTGCAATTAACAGTAATTATAGTGGGCTCTGAGCAAGGTGGAGATGATAGGGAATAAAGGGCTATCTGTTCAGGAAATGATCCAGAAAAATGCAGAAAAATGTTCATTCCATTTAATAAGAAAAATATACTTGTTGATTCTGAGTTGAGAGAGAAAATAATGGACATATCTAGTTTTGTAAATGAAGTTTAGAAATCTAAGGAAATCCAGTGCTGCCACCAAAAAAATTATAATCCACAATAATAAACTAGAATACACAGACCCAATGAAATATAATATTGAAGCAAGTGTCCAAATTGCTTCAAGGCAAAAGCTTCTGGAAGCTTCTGGGTCCCTCACACAACAGTTCCCTCCTTCACAAGAAGCGCTTCAGGCATGTAAACAGAGACAGAGACTGACAGCAGGCAAACACTTGTGACTCTATGTATAGACTCGGACCAGGAAGTACAACTCTCTGCCTTTATAGACTCAGGCTAACATCCAATTTCATAGATGAAGCTGCACTACAAAAGTTTTGTTTATCCACTAGGACAGGGGTGTCAAACTCAAGGCCCGGGAGCTGGAGCTGGCCCATGGGGTGCTTAGATCTGGCCCTCAAGGCCGCTCTGGAAACAACAAAGGACCGGCCTGCGGTGCCTCTGCCAGCAAAAATGGAGCCCGGAAGGGCTGCAAGCAGCCCTCCCAAGCTCCATTTTCGCTGGCAGAGGATTGCAGGAGGTTGCTGCAGCCAAAAACAGAGCTCGAAAGCCCATTTTCACTGGCAGAATGCTCAGGCCACCACAGGTGGCCCCGACATGAGTGACGTTGAACAGGCCACGCCCCTTGGCCATGCCCACTATGCCCCCCCCCCCCGGGCAAAAGCAAACCCGATGCAGCCCTAAATGAAATTGACTTTGACACCCCTGCACAAAAAGCCCAGTGTTGGTGGAAACAAATAGAGAGCAGCTGCTTTGAGCTGAGCCAGTGTTATGATCCATTATTTCTCAATGTCCAAGCTGTACGTAGGTGTTCCAAATTGTGATGATCCATCCAAAACTTGATTTGGTGACGAGCCCCCTCCAGGTGGTGCCACCATGTCTCAAAAGCGATCTTAACCGCCAATAGCTGCTTGTCCCAAATTGTATAGTTGCGCTCTGGAGCCGACAACTTCCGGGAATAATAAGCGCACGGGAACAAGGTCCCTGCGGGAGCATAGGCCTGGAGGAGCACCGCACCAACAGCCACATTGGAAGCATCTGTTTCCACCACAAATGGCTAGCCTGGATCAGGGTGTTTGAGGATAGGCTCAGAAGCAAAGGTGACTTTCAATGCCTCGAAAGCTGCCTGCTCCTCAGCACCCCAATGGAACCTCTCCCACTTCTTGAGCAGATTAGAAAGGGGAGCAGTCAAGGCAGCAAAGGAGGGGATAAATGTGCGGTAGTAGTTCACAAACCCCAACAGTCGTTGCACATCCTTAACCTGCTGTGGAGGTTCCCACTCCTGCAACGATTGAATTTTTTCCAGGTCCATTTCCACCCCAGCAGGTGAAATACGATGTCCCAAGAAGTCAATCGTGGTTTGTGCAAACTGACACTTCTCACGTTTAGCAAACAGGTGGTTATCATGCAAACGTTGCAACACTAACCGCACATGCTACCAATGTTCCTGCAGGAAGTCTGAGTAAATCAAAATGTCATCTAAATAAATGACCACTAATTGATCCAACAAATCACGGAAACCATCATGCATGAAATGCATGAACACAGCTGGGGCATTGGTTAATCCAAAAGACATCACGGTATACTCAAAATGCCCGTACCTCGTCCGGAAAGCTGTTTTCCACTCGTCCCTTGCATGAATGCGAACCAGATTGTAGGCCCCACGCAAATCCAACTTCGTAAAGATCTTAGCTTGACGAAGCCGCTCGATCAGTTCAGGGATGAGGGGAAGCGGGTACCAATTCCTCACTGTGATTGCATTCAACTTGCAGTAATCACAACACAAATGTAGCTCCCCCAATTTCTTTTTCACAAAAAGCACCGGTGCAGCCAATGGGGAGGTAGAAGACCAGATAAACCCTTTCCGGAGGTTCTTGTCAATAAAATCCCGCAACGCAGTCAATTCCGGTTCCAACAGGGAATATATCTGACCCACCGGCAATTTTGCATCGGGCAACAAGTCAATTGGACAGTTATACGCCCGATGCGAAGGCAACTGATCTGACTCCTTCTCCCCAAACACATCAGCAAAGTCCACCAACTCCACAGGTAGATCCAGGTCCACGGGCATAGCCACACTCCCTGCACTGGAGCACAAGCAATGGTTGGCACACTTCCTATCAAGGAACTGCACAGCTCCAGACGACCAGACAATCTATGGATCATGGGCCTGTAGCCACTCTAAACCCAGCACCACCGGAAAATGAGGCACTGCGGGAACGTAAAACACGGTTTCCTCCACATGCTGCCCAATACGCATGCAAAGGGGTTTGGTTGCAGCAACCACAGGTCCCGAACGAAGGGGCCAACCATCAATTGTCTCCATCATTACTGGTGGGGATACCTGTTGCTGAGGAATGAACTACTGCTTGACAAAATGAGCATCCATGAAATTGGCAGTGGCCCCTGAGTCAACCAAAGCTGGGATCTCCACCGCTCCCACACCAGGCATGAACACACTTGCTGGCAGCACAAGATGCTTCATCAATAGCGACTGTGGTAGAAATGTCGAAGATGTCAAAGGTGGCGAGGGTGGCAAGTTTGGTGAAGATGGCCGGCCTATGGACTTTACACCCCGACCTGCAGACCCCCTTAGGCCAAGCGATGCTCGTTTCCCGCCACCGCAGGTATCGCTGCTGTGGATGTCTTAACAGGACACTTGGCTGCAAAATGGCCTCGATTGCCACAATAGAGGCATAAACCCTCACGACGATGTCTATTCCTTTCTACTTGAGTCAGGCGAGGGCGGCCAGCCCCCAACTGCATGGGTTCCTCCAAAGGCACTTCCACCAAGGGCACCATCTTGCTGGTCTCTGTCCGTTGTCACATCCATCACTGCTGAAGTCTAGCATGGATATGAAGACACAAATGCATGAGCTCCTGAAGGGTGCGAGGGCATTCAGTGTGCACCAACTCATCTAGAAGCTCCGACGACAAACCCTCCTGGAACTGGTCTAATAGTGCTGCCTCATTCCATTGTACATCCTGAGCAACCACCCGAAAACTAGCAATATAATCCATGAGTGAGCCATGCCCCTGCTTCAACTCTCTCAAACGTCTGTTTGCTGTTTGGCTTCGAACAGGGTTCTCAAACATGGCCTGAAACTGACAGCAAAACTTGGAGTAATTGTCCAACACCTGGTTGGGCTGGGTCAGCACAGGCATCGCCCAACGTGCTGCAGAGCCTGACAACAAACTAATCAAAAAACCCACCTTATCCCGGTCAGTGGGAAAGTCCTCAGGCCGAAGGCTCACGTAAAGCTGGCACTGCCCCAAAAATGCTGGAAATTGGGCCAGCGAACCATCAAATTTATCTGGCACTGCCACTTGGCATTTTCGGCATGGCCGGGCAGCTTGCATTTGTGCCACCTGTGCAGTCAAAAGAGCCACTTGCTGGGTTAACTGGGCAATCTCTGCTCTGAGCTGATCCATGGTCACCCCACAAAAAGCAAAAATAAGTTTTAAGGGGTGACTGAAGTCAAAATGTGATGACCCGTAGTCTCTCAAAATAACCCAAAACCCAAAACATATATTAAAGTCCGGTAAACTTCAACTTAACTTCACTGTTTTATTTGGCACAGTTTAAAGTCACAAAAGTAAATAATGAGGCAAACAGAAAACCAAAACAAACCACATTGATGAGAGTTCCAAAGCAAGCCAAGATAACTAATTATAAACTCCAGGAAAATAACGTCCATGGGAAGAACGCCAGCAAAGATAAGCCTCTTTCAAGGTAAACACTAATTGACTTCAGCAATTCTAACTGCGCAGTTGCAAACTTATATACATAGCTCCCACCTGCAAGCCATGAGGAGGATCATGGTAATCTCCTCTTGAGTAGACCTCGCTTTTCCCTGTTCCTCTCCTCCCTGCGTGACCTAGGATGGATAGGGGATGGGCTTGGATCCTCCTCTGACTGCTCAGCCAGCCTCTGCCCTTCCCCAGCCTCCTCTACCACCTCTGGAGCCGCACTCCCACTCCCTGTTGGCTGTTCCTCCTCTTCTTCAGAGTCAGACTCCACCAGGGGCATGACAGTGTACATAAAGAGAAAATAAAATACATTCATCAAGAATCATAAGATACAACACTTAGTGATAGTCACAGGTTACTAATAAGCAATCAAATCATACTAGGGAACAAATAAACAATATAAATTGTAAAGATACAAGCAACACAGTTATAGTCATAAGTTGGAAAATATAGGTAGTAGGAAGGATGAGAAGGATAATAGTAATATAGTCTTACTAAATAGTTTGACTTATTTATTAATAATAGTTTTACTTATTTATTAAGAAACACTTATTTCTTCCTATTACCATGTTATTGTTATTACATTGTGCAATTTATCCCTTGTCTTTTAAAATGTATGATCCCAATGATGATGAATAAGAACTCGGTGTTTTACTGAATACTGCTATTCCAGCTGATAACAATATGTGCAATATGAAACAATTGTAATGACCATTTGGTTTGGTTTACTTTTTTCACAAGGACTCAAGTGACAAATAAAATGAACAGTCTCCATTCTTGACCTATTTCATGGTAGTGTTTAACAGCCCCATCTTCACATGTATAGTGCCTATTACAGAAGCCTTTAAATGGTCCATGTGATTAGCAAACTGATATTTTTCACACATTTTAGCTGTATTTGTTACTCTATGCCATTGAAAGAAACTATTATCTTTTCAATTACCAGAGCACAGCTCTGCAGAATTTTGTTCAACTAAGCAACAAAAAGACAAATGTGCAATTAAAAGTCATGGATCATAAATATATATTAGACTTGTTTGTGCTGTTTGCATTATTACCTTATTTCTATTAAGATACTACAATTATTATTCAATTGTTTTAAATTGCAAGTGGAGTTCCAAAAGCATAATGATAGCTGTTCAAAAATCATTAATTTGAAAAAAAAATGGTAGCTGCATGTAAAAGGACATATATAATTTGTTTATATGCCCAATAAAGTGATCTTGTGTCCAATTTTACAGAATATCATCTTGTGTTTGAAGGGCTGTTCAATGGATACTCAGTTCAAAAATAAGACATCATAAAGAGAGAAGGGATAGTTAGCAACTGAATATGTCTGCCATGCTATATGACTCTTTAATGTATATATTTCTTTCCCCATGTTCTAGGGGAATTGTGTGGTGTTTTGTGATATATATGCTCATCTTTGTTTTTCAATCCAGATTCTCAGTTAGAGGAACTTCCCACTCTTCTCCATTGTGCAGCTAAATTTGGATTAAAGAAACTTGCTGTACTTCTTCTCCAAGATCCCAAAGCCATTCAAACATGTAGAATTATTAACAAGTATGGAGAAAACCCAGCTCATGTTGCAAAAAAGTATGGCCAGAAGGAAATTTGGAAGGTCCTTAAAGAATTGCCAGTAAGTTACCTGCTGCTACCCATGGACATTACACTCATAATATTTTATGAAATAAATGGGAACACTAGTTACACTTTGGGAATTTTCATTGTGGTAAAACATGGAGAGAAATCTGTGAACAGACAGATTCGTTAATATTATAATCAGATTTATGAAAAAAAATACATACACAGTCTATAAGCATTAATTCTAATGATATATACATTATATTGTTTCATAATAATTTGATATTTTTGCTTTTTGAGTGAGAAATCTAAAATGCATAATTATAGAGAATGGAACACATATGATCAACTATTACATTTTTTTTGCATCAATTGCATGTTTGATTTTGCCAATTTATTATTATAAAAAGGAATGGTATATTCTAACATATTATATAGTATAATCAGGGAGGGGCTGTCTTATTTTACATCACCAAATTTATTCTAAGCATCATTGAAGGAAGGCAACCAACAACTAGCTTGTCTTCCTGAATTCCTAAAGGTTGGCATCAGGCAGTGTAAAGCATACATAGTTTCTTTCTTGAGAAGGTATTAATGGTTAATTAATATCAATAAATTAGCTACCATTGCAGCATTAACCTCAAATGATGGAGGAGAGGAGAGAAGAGGAAGAGAGGGGAGAGGAGAGGAGAGGGAGGGAACAAGGAGAGGGAGGAGGGGAGGGGGAGAGGAGCGAGGGGAGGAGGAAAGGAGGAGAATAGAAACAGAAGCTGACATATTACAGTGCATGTTAAACGACGTCTTGAAGATGGTTCAACATAGAGTATAATAAGGTAAGCTTCTTAGATGTATCTGTGTCTATGTAGCAATGAAAGAGAATCCTGATTCTAAAAGTTGAGATTGAAAATAACTTTGTAAAGGGCAATTTTCAGCTGAACCTCCATCATACATCTATAGATCCTTCTGACCAAAGAGGTATCCCACAAATGCTAGAAAAAAATTATATAAGGAACAATAATTTATTATTTGTGTAGTGGGAATCAAAGCATCTATTGGAGAAATCATGTAAGTAGCATAAAGAAAGACAACATATGTGGATTTGCAGTAATATACTGAGTAAACCAGCCTACCGCACTAGCCATGAAACCCTTACTTTGAAAAAAAAAAAAAAAAACATTTATTTTTGGCCAAAAGTTCTCCAGCTAATTTTCATCTCACAAACTGGCTTAATTTAAAACATTGTGTTTAAGCATTCATATGCTTAAAACAATTATAGTTCTTTCTCTTCATAGTATTAACTCTGAGTTGCCAAGAAAATGGGGAGGTGGACATTTGGCTGGATTCTTTTTTTTACTTTGGAGTTTTTTGCCAGAATAATTAAACTAAAAGGTAGAATTATGTGCTACTGCCAAATGGTTTTTAGTAAAGCTGGAAGTTTTTAAAAATCACGTTGTAGCATTTTTGTGGTATTTACTTTAAATACTGTACCGCTACATTAGACCAGAAGTGTCAAACTCCTGTCGTCACAGCGGCATCACGTAAGGTATTGGAATTTTTTTCTCCTTTGCTAAATTGGGTGTGGGCATGGCCAGAACATGATGTACCCAGCCCACAGGCTGGGAGTTTGGCAGCCCTGCATTAGACATTTTCACCCAATCCTTTTCAAGGAGAGCTCTTGTATGAGGCAGGAACCAATGTTCTCAAAAGAGAAGAGAGGAAAAGGTTCATAGAAGAAAATAATAGTTCCCCCCTCCCTTATTTTGGTACTTTTCTACCACTGCTAATTTTACATTACAGGCCATGTGAAAATTCTGGTAAACAATTTTTTTTTATCCAAAAGTCATCTGAGAAAGTTAATGCATTGTGACATAGTGCAATAAGAGATTGCTTGTGTAGGAGATGGCACCTGCTGGGATCAGCTACCATCTTATTACCTCCCAGCAATTCCATTTTACTTGTATTCATTATTTCAAGAGAAAAATAGTCTCTATTTCAACCACTCTGCAATGGGAAATTAATTGGAAGAGGTCATTGCACAACATAATATATTTGTGGCTATTTCTTAGTTCCAAAGCCAAGAGATACAGCATAACAGATCTTTAAGCAGAAGGGTAGGGCCAAGAATGATTGTGATATAGATTAATGGAAAATAGCTATTGAGCGCAGTGGTTTAGAAGTGGAAATCT